GGTGTTTCACATAATAAACATTCAGCTGACCATCTCTTCTTTTCTTTATCATATTGGACATCTTTAAAAAATTTATCACGAGCAGTTCTAGGCGTAGTGGACGACGAAGACGTGGAAGCAACTTCTTCAGTATTTGAAGTTGAAGGTGCTACTATTATTTGAACTTCGTTTGTAGATGAGTACAAATTCTTGAAAGAGTTGTTTCCTGATTCCATATTAAAATTTAACTTTATGCTACTAAATTAATTCTCGTCTCAGTTATTGTAAAACAAAGAAATCAACATATTTTATTTTCATTAAAAATTATTGGGAAGTGAGATGACCAATAAAAATAAAAAATGATTTCAACAGATCCGAAATCCTTCATTTTATTCCAAAGTAAATTCACTCCGCGACAATATTTTTGCATTTTTTGATTGTATTTTATTGCTTTATTACAAATTGGAAACCAAAACTTCAGTGCATAAGCACCTATATGTCTATACGTTTTTTGACTTGACTCGACTTGTTTTTTAAGACCAAGTCGCAAGTCAAGTCAAGTCATTTTTGAAAATTTCAAGTCAAGTCAAGTCAAGTCATGACTTACTTAAAATAATTTCAAGTCAAGTCAAGTTATTTTTTAAAATTTCCAAGTCAAGTCAGAGTCGAGTCAAGTTATTTTTTAAAATTTCCTAGTCAAGTCAGAGTCAAGTCAAAAATGACTTGACTTGACTGGTTTCAAGTCAAAAATGACTTGACTTGGCCATCTCTGCATACATATATGAAAAAACCTTGTTTTTAGAAAACGAATTGCTGTTGTGCTATCAAGTCATTACTTTCGTTTTGTCTAACGTACGTAGTAATTGATTTGAATCATATTGATATCTAACTGTACTTTTATATATATTTCTATCTGGTAAATCCAAATATCAAATGAATCAAGTCCTGATGAATGCTAGCTACTTGTTTCATCCCATATCATTCATTTTAAATACAAATATAAAATAATTTAATGCATTATAATTATATGATTTTATTAGCATTTAAAAATAAATATTTCGAAACGTATTTGATTGCATTTTTTCTCATTTTATCTATGAGAATATTCGATTGACATATGATGAAAAGACGAATGATTATTCAAGTCAATCTTCATAGTGTTAAGAATATCTTTCAATGAATCTTTTTCTATTCAAGTATTTGTCATCAAGATTAAAAATCACCTGATCATTTTTGTCATTCGTATTTATCATTAGTTTTTCATAAATTACATCATTAGATCGAGAAAATAAATGTTTGTCTTTTTCTTCATCGTTTTTCTCAATGAGTTAAGATCAACTTTGACTGTTTAATCATATTTGCCTATCTGTTCATTAGTTTATGGTGATTTTTCTATTGAGTTAACATTATTATTTATGAAGATTCTAAATTAATACAAATAAATAAGAAACTAGAACAACTGAAATAGCAATAAAATGAGTTCAAACATGGAATTATAAATGAAATAAATAAGCTTATCGATGTTTACTAAAATGTAAAAGGGAAATAATAAAATTTAAGCAAGAAAAACTTCGATAGAAACATAATTGATTTTCTCTAGGCAAATCGAAGAGTCTATCTCATTTAATACATTCAAATGTATTCAATTTCGAACTAAACATGAAAGTGATTTTTGAATATTGGAATATTAATTTTAATTTAAGATTTAAAATTTTTGCAATGATGTCAACATCAATCTGTTAAGATTTTTCAGTTACGACGATCTATCAAATTTTGTTTATTGGATATTCTTTTGTTGATAATAATCTTCTGTAACATGTAAATATTGTTGATTATTTTCAAAATAATTAAAATTTATTGCAAATATCTTCCTTTTTTGTTTTGTTAGATCTATTTTATTGAAATAAGATTCGATGAGAACTATTAAAATAATATAATTTCGGAATAGTTTCTATCATATGAAAACATTATAATTTATGCGTCAATGTATTGACGTCATTGATTAAGCTATGAAGGGATGGAAGTCTACTTGAAGGATAAAATATAGAATTGAATTGAATAAAATGATGATGAATGATAATGCCTTCGTCTTTCGAATATAAAAATGAAAACATATTAAGGCAGTAATTTTGATGTATTTTTATAGTTTATTACTACTGATTATGGGAGACAACGAAAATATTATTAATATTATTTAAACGGTATTTAACAATAAAGTACGTAGAACGAAAATGTTAATAATATTTGAATTAATTGATAAATAACAGATAGAAAAAAGAAGTTTTCAAATAGTTTTTTTTTATAGCCGTTGACTATATAATAGAGGTGATACAGCAATATTTTTATCAATTTTTGATCTGGTAGAGTTTTCAGATACAGTTCCGATTCACTGTCTACATGTTGTTTCTTGTATAACTTCAAGTGTATTTGGATTTAGAGCTATTTGATTAGGCATTTCTTCAAGTTGAATTTGGTTTGGTAAAATACTTTTAATTAGAGAACCTAATGCTGAATTTTCAGCAACAAAATCTTTTGGAACATGCCAATTAAGACTATCATCAAAATAAGAATCATTATCTGGTGTAGAAAATATGGATAAACGAAGAAAAGTTCCAGTTAAAAGTCCTCCAACAATGGCAATGCCTAGTGTTAGTAAAAGTGCAGCACATTGATACCCCACTTGAGTTCCAGCTGATCTATGTTCACCTCCCGATAAGCACGTTGCCCCTAAATTTTCTGTATACAATGATCTCCAAGGCATACTAGCAACAACGATTCCAGCTAAACCAGATAAAACTCCTGGCATTCCATGTAAATTATGAACACCACATGTATCATGAATATGAATCTTTTTTAATAGTTCAAGTAAATATTTATAACCCAAAGTTGAAATAATACCAGCAAGACTTCCAATAATCATAGCTCCAAATAAGCCAATATTTTTATCAGATACAACTCCAACAGCAACGCCACCTGCTAATGTTGCATTTTGTATATGAGTTATTTCTTCTTTACCTTTTCCAACAAGTGCTGACACAGTGAATGTTAATATAACTGATGCACATATACTAATATATGTATTAGTAATAGCACGTACTCTTCCATCTCCAAATGCTGTACCAGCATTAAATGATGGCCAAAAACAAAATAAAAATAATGTGCCAATCATTGAAAAGATATCTGAAGCGTAGCTTGAACCTTCTTTTGGAGATTCCACCTCTCGTTTATGTTGAAGACTATACGATGCAGCTAAACCAAAATAAGCACCAAATACATGAACATATATTGATCTGTAAAAATAGAAATAAATCTTTTATCTATTATCTATTATTGTTCTCTATAAAAGAAAACAAGAATATAAAAATCTACTTACTCTCCACCGTCATATGCACACAAATAAGTTACACAAATATGTTCATTCCATATTTGCATAACAACTTCCGCTAAAGCAAGTATAACTAATTGAGCTGGATTCGTTTTTCCAAGAACAGCACCAAATGATATTAATATTGCTGCAGAAACAAAATCAGCGTGAAGTAGGTTTTTAACAGTGACTGAAAATGATTTTGTTTCAGAATCCCAATCAACAACATAACCGCGAACTAAGATTGCCCATTCAAGAACAAAAGTAGCGACCAAAAAATTGAATGAAACTGATGAAAATGAATAACGACGAAGAAAAGTCATTAAAAATCCGAATCCAATAAACATCATAACATGAACATCTTGAAAAAATGAATAATAATATTCTACTGCACCTTTAGGAGGCGGAGTATTGCGTGATATGATTTCAGTTGAATTATCATCGACTTCATATCCATATTTAGCATGAACAGCATATAATACAATAAAAACACATTGAAATAAAATTAAACCAACTGGAAACATATATTGTTTAAAGCCTCGTTTAATAGTGTCTTTTATCGTATCAAAATCGAACATTATTTTCCTTCTTTTATTTCTATTTTATCAAAATAAAAATATAATAGCTAGTTAACAACAAGGGATTTACTTATTTATATAAAATAAGGGTTTATTTTCATTCTGTATTACTTGTGGGTGTGTCTTATCTTGCTTTTTTTCCTCTTCATTTTTTTTTGTTTTATACGTCATATTTATTCGTGACATCCATGCATATTTTCGCAATTTTTGTTTAATTTTTGTGGACGCTTACGAAAACAAGAGCCAACAGACAAGACTACGATAAAAAACAGAGAAAGAATGACAAATAAGTGAAAACGACAATGTAAACGAACAGAACTAAAGTCGAAATCGAGGCAGCGATGACGAAATTGGCGTGCAGTACTGTTCTCCCTTTGTTTATTCTTCCGATACCATGTATTTTAACACCGAAGACACCGTGCCGGGAGAAGGGATCGAAAATTTTCATGTCTGATGAATAATCAGATGCATAGAACCACTACGCCATTCCTGGCTTCCTCTTCAGCTAATGTTGATTAGTAACGAATTTTGATTTGATTTCTTAACTATATCGTATATAAGGTAGCTTTTTTTTTGTTTATACAAGGCCTATCTCTATAAAGTAGATTCGACTTGACAGAGCAAAAAACATGTCAGTGCAAAAAAACAAAATAAATGCATGAAATAAAATTAATGTGTAATAATAATACATTAGCCTGTGTTATACATTCTAAATGCGGAATTGATAATTATTACAGATAAACTGCAGCTTGTCAAATCGATTAGTGCTATAAGAACATGAAATGTTTATCATATGACTCGTATTTTTATTTTCTGTACAAAAAATTAAATAGAGAAGAAAATACTCAAGCCTTGCAATTTATTTTCATCTAGTCAAACGAATATTCAAATAATTATTCTGTTTATATCAACTTTTTAAAGATAGAAGTTTTAAGAAAAAGCGAATTTTCATGTATATTTTTTGAAAACGTTTTCTTTCTTTTTTACCTTGAGACGTACTTTTGATTGATCAGTAATATTATTAAATCATTATAACGCTCACAGTTAAGCGTGACTATTATTTTGTCTTTTCTCTATGTTTTGTATTTATTTTCATGTCCTTCGCGTTTGTCCTTAACGGCCACCACCTTTCAATCTCTCGGAAGGTAGAGTATTTAATTGTGTGCTTTTCGTGTAATCAGGACGATTTATGATATGAAGAAATGAAATAAAGCATAGTTCCATCAATGAAAGCACTTCTTCTATCAGAAATCGTCACAACTGGCGACCCTGGTTATTGATCTTGTCACTCTTTTGATCCAAGCAAGCACTATCATCTTGGTCCACAACAACATTCGTACATCACCTTTTACCTTCAGCAACATAAAACAAAACGCCGTTAACGCTTATGTTCGAGATGTTGAATTTGTGGAGATGATGTAGGGCCGGTAATACTGTTGAAGAGGGCAGCAGTGTTATTATAGATCAGCGAACGTATTAAAGGGCAGTTTGAGCCCCAGTCGACTGTGCGTAGTCCCAAGGCATTTTCCTCATAATATCTATACGTAAACCGTTGTATCGTCTCGACTCATTCTTAGTGACGGAACCAGGATTTCAGTCTAGAGGGAGCTCAGCTCCATCTTAATTATTCAAAGTCTACTTACGAAAGTAAAAGTTTTTTTTTGAAAACTGTCATGTTTGAGTCAGTTTTCTGAGTCCTAATGTCTCATTCAATCAGTTCTTGCTCATATATTTATAAACATATATATTTATATCAACATATGGATGGAATTCTATATTTATATATATTTCATATCACTTAATCACATTAACAAAATTCTACTATTTTTATGTTGTATGGCAAATACATCAATAACCTTTTCAAAATCTATGTCAAATTCTCTTTCAACAGCCAATGCACTAAGATCACTAAGTCTTTCATCACCCATCGAATTTCGAGCATAATTTTTAATCAATTTCATCCTGGAAACGACCTTTCACATACGATGGACGACACAGGAAATGTGACAGCACCTTTGATCGAAGTGATTTATAATTGGCATCGATAGAATTACTTGAAAGACTTGCTCATAAAAAATTAAGAGAAAAAAAGGTACTAAGTTCTTCTTAGTCGATTAAAAATAGGCAAACGGCTATGCTAACTTCTAGTATTTGCATTGAAATTATTTAGTAAAGAAAGTTTCACAGCCTAAATAGCGACAAAATTTTCTAGAGGGAGTTCAGCTCCCCCTCTGGCTCTGCCACTACTCATTCTATGATCCAACCTTTCGATCATTGTCTTAACAGTCGTTAATATTTTGCCAACAACAACTCAATCTTAGTCATGATCTTTCATTCAAATGTGTCATCAACGTCCAAACTTGTGGGTGCTGATGCGATCCTGCTGTGGTATATCACCTCCCCAATGGACTGGACAACTACGATTTTCCGGCATGATCGTGTCGACAAATCAGCTTCCGTATATAAATACCTGAGTCAATTTCCATTTCGTGGTGGTTGAGATATCGAATTGCCTACCAGATGGCCCATTTACACAAGAGTAGAATACATTCGAAGTGTTCCTCTATTACTGTCTGGTGATTTGTCTCAGTCAATTTCAAGCCGGTGCTCGCATCTCACATCTGTTCTTGAGCATATGTGTTTGTTGTATTTTTTTTTCTCTCTTCTCCTTTTTATTCAGTAATGTTTCTATCTTTTGACACTATTCCATGTCTTCTTACAGGCTATTTACTTTTCCTTAGTCTGTTTATTTCTCTTTGTATTACGGACGTTCTCCTGAGCGTTCAAATTGGACCCGAGAGTGTAACGCTCACACTTAAGCGTAACTATTATTTTGTCCTTCCTCTATGTTTTGTATTTATTTTGATGTCCTTAGCGTTGTCCTTAACTTTCATCAGCTTTCATTCTCTCGGATGGTTGAGTATTTAAATCTGTGCTTTGTGTGTAATCGGGACGATTTATGATATGAAGAAATGAAATAAATCGTAGTTCCATCAAGGCAAGCACTTCTTCTGTCAGAAATCGTCATAATAATGATTCTCTCTCTGTCCCCCTCTTCTGCTCAAGGTTAAAATCAATTTTCTTTTTATTGTAGAGCTATTTTTTGAAAATTTTTTAAATTGATAATTTTATATTTTCAATAAATTCTATTCAAACGATTGTTAGTGTTTTTCATTTTGTGATATCACCTTCAATTTAAATATTAGTGATTCTTTTTGTGTACTCAAAAAGTGAGTACACTGGATTCGATCTGTGTGTCCGGCCGGCCGTTAACACGATAACTGTTGAAAACCTCATCCAATTGTCTTGGAATTTTGTACACAGAATGATCTCATCAATATCTCAATCGGATTTGAGGATGAAAAGAATCCGTCAAGAAATGGCTGAGTTATCGGAAAAATTGTCATTATTGACCAGGCCATTCCTGAGGGGGCGAGGTACAGGGATTTTTTCAAAAAACGTTTTTTTTCTCAGAATTATTCAAAACATATAAATCGACTCAGTTGTTGCAGTACACGTAACAATCGGATGCAAATCCGATGTTTTCTCATTTATTTCATTTAATTACAAATAAAACTAGTTGATTCATTAAATAAATGAATGACAATATAGATTTAGTTTTAAAGTTTAATAATCCTAACAATTGAGAAAAAGAAACAGATATCACTTATCTTTCTATATTATTTCACTTATTTTAATCTTAGAAATACTTCTCTAATATGGATATCCTAGTCAATTGATAGTAATCAATATCCAGTCACACAACGATATACAAAGAACGAAAAAGCCTTTTCATAAATAAACAGCTTAACCAAGCAAGACAAGATACACAGAAATAAAGACTGATTAATCTTGAGTATATTCTGTAATTTTTTTGCTTCGATGATTTTCAAAACAAAGTTTTAATTGATTGTTTTTATCTCATAAGCAAGAAAAAAAGTTATTCGAAAAAAATATTTTTATTCAATTACGACCATAAACCAACATTATTTGATAGAAAATTTATTTCGAATAACTTCTTTGATTATAAATATGGTCGCCACTGAATAATATTTTTCAACACAAAAAATATTTAGAAAAAAGCAAATAAATAAGATTGACATTATTGATTCGTAATAATTTGTGTATGTTCGGTACAAACATTCAAATCAATATATTTTAGAAATCGTTTATCGTAGTGATGATGAGGATGATTGTTGTTAATGTTTTCGTGTTGTTTAAAATACAGCTGGTTCTGGTTGCATTTGAGACGAAAAAAACATCTTCAATGCAATTTATTTCTTTTCTTTCTGAAGTATTGAGTCATACATTATATATTTTAAATTCAATTGAATTTTTATTACTTGATTTAACAAAAATATGTTATCCATAGAATATTGTTTTTCTGGAAAGCCCGATTAAGACAAAATATTTCCACGAAAACATGCAATAATAATTTTTTTATATCATAATTATTAAAAGAAAAGTCAATCAAAATAATTATTTCGATTAAATTTTTATATAAAGGATTTTAAGAAGATCTATCTCTTATGATCTATTAAAGAATTGATTATGTTGAAATGAAACAAAGGAGAATAGACAATTGTTGAAAACCGAAAAGAATTCGTAGTTGTGGTCGATTCAACTAGAAAATCATTTATTCACATTAGAACAAAAGAATTTTTTGGAAAAAAGAAACAGTATGAGTAATATAATTAAAAATAGACTATCAATCATTGAAAAAAAACACATAATGAAGAAGATTTTAAATGATAAAGATAAATATTTATTTCTAAAGCGATAGATCATCATCGCCAAATTCGGACTTGTATTTCTTTTCTTAACATAGGATAGAACATACCCAGTCACATCCTAAATTCATGAAAATAACAATATATATATATATATATATTTTTTTTGTTGAAATGATCATTATAGAAGAAAACATGTTATTTTATGTTTTCGTCCGTTATTAATTACAAATAAATATTTTTAGATTAAAAAATTCACTACTAATATTT